AGAACTGTTTCATCAAAGCATTAAAACCAGCCTGGTTTTCGTTCCCAGCTGTTGCCCAGCGTGCCTTTCCCACTGCCTCTGCTGCTTACGTGTCGTAGCTTTCACCTTTTGCTTTTCCACTTTGCGTTCAAGGTTCCCAGTGCAGCAGTAAAGAGAGATACAGCTGATAAATCACATCCCCTCTGTTCTGATGCTGAGTGGGAGAGTGCTAGGAGGTCGCAAACACAGGCAATGAAAGTTCTGTTTGGGCAAGGAGACGATAGATGTGGGGATATTTGTGGTAGGATAATAAATGAAATTGGAAAAAATTAAGTTGTATTTCAAGAGAAACTAACTTTAATGTGTCATGAAAGTTTCCAGAATGGATTTGACCTCTACATATATTAAAAACCCCTATTTCTTTCCAATTGGTCTACCTGCCTGCTGCATCGTTTATTATTAATGAAATATTTTTCTCCTGTCAGTCATGCCAGCTGGAAGGCTAAGGGAACCAGGATAAATCAGCACAGATCTTGTTTCAGCTGTCAGGAAGAGGCAAAGGAAGAATGCAGAACAGAAAAGAAGTCACTTCCCTAAGTTTTGAGAGGGAAATGGAGTGTCTGCTTCAAAGGGCGAGGAGGCTGCCTTTCGGTGCAGTGAAGCTGTTGCGCGGCTGCTTGCGAGCATGTTGGGCTGGCAGTGCCCATGCTGTGGCTGTGGGGTGGGGGACGCGTTGTCCTAGTCTACCCCTGAAGTGTCACCAGACTGTTGGACTTAGGTCTTTGGCTGCTTGCTCTTTAAAATACCTGTGAGTTACCTTAGCCTGTAAGTTGTTCAAGCTTGTGCTGTTTTTTTATATTACATGACGACCGACAGATAGTAGCAATGCAGTGTTTGTACTTGTAAAGGCAACGAGCTGTGCTAGGTTCAAAGAGCTTGGTTGAGCCCTCGTCTTCTCCTCCTGTGGCCAGGCAGCAAGGCTGTGGTTTTGAGGAAACAGACCTTGTCCTTGAGGATCTGTGCTGAGGTCAATAACTCCTTACTCTGTGAAACCACATTGGGTCAAAACCACCCATCCAGAGCTTGAAAAAATATTTTTCTTAGGTAGAAAGCATTTTAAATCTAGTCAGTGTTTATTTACTGTCTGTTTTATTCTTCAGATATGCCTCTTCATGTCCGACGTAGTAGTGACCCTGCACTGATTGGCCTCTCAACCTCTGTAAGTGACACAAATTTTTCCTCGGAAGAGGGTCCACAACCGCAGGCTTCCTCAAGCAGAACAACCCTGGCATACCCAGTGCTCATGAAAGAAAGGTATATTTCCTTCTTCCTCTTTGTCCAATAAATAACAAATGTGCATGAATCTTGAATGCTGTTTTGCCCTTCTCTCACCTGCTCCTGGTCTAAACTTGTGTTTTCTGACTTTGTCCACCAAACCCCATCATCAGCAGAGGAGTCGCACGTGTGTCCTGCCCTTGGGAGACTCTTGGTCATGCCCACAGCAGGGGCTCTGAAAACTTGATTTTGCCATTAACTGTAGTTGAAGCTCTGATTACTCATTACTCTGCAAAGCAGGGCCTAAATCTGTCACACATTTTCTTTGAATGCAAATAGGTCACATCTATAATGATTCTTACTGATCTCCATAGAAGCTGTGATGGCAGTGAATAATCTGCATGCCCACAGCTGGTCTGGTCTGTCTTTCTGACATAGCCTTGCTAGTTTTCACTTTCTGAGGCGCTAGTCAAGTAATACAAAACACAAATTGCAAATGCTGTCTCGCCTTGATAACGTTCTTAAAACTAAAACAGTGAAATGCAGAGTGAGTATTTTTTCCTTCATTTTTTAAATATGATTTCAGTGTCTCTACATGAATTGCATTATTAGCTAGAGAAGTCTGCAGGAAGCTCACTTCTCAGTGCATTATTGAAAAAAACACTGGAAGAAATATTCCCTTTTGTACGGCCCCCAACACTGCCCATAATTGTGATGGTAACTAGCAAACAAACTCGAAAGGAAAAAATATGTATATTTTCCAATAGAAATAAGTAATTTTAAACATTTTGATTATCATTCTGACAGCACAAAATCCTTTTGGAAAATGTGCAGCTTATTATAGCTGTTTTATTTTTTTCTGTGTTACTGTTAATTCTGTGCAAACTGAAACTCTGCAGCCCAGACTCCCACACCCCAAATAAAGAAGTCTTTACATGCTGCTAATGAACTGAACTATCTTTGGTGGGCTTTTGGTTGTTTCAAAAACATCTGTAAAAGCACAGTGCTCATAGGCGCTGAGGTCCACATTCTTAGAGAGGTGTCAGTTTAACACGGTATCGTTGGGTCTCTGCTTGATCGAGATTTCAGGTAGGTAATGGTATATTTTTTGTCACTTGTACTGGTGTGGCACAGAAGTGCCGGTTGTTTTGAAAAATACCTTTTATACTATTCTGGTCTGGAGAAGACAAATAATAATCTAATCCTTTTGAAGTGTTAGCATTTTCAGTTAATTTTTCTGAAATCATAATGAGACTGCACTTCATTACTCCACAAGCATAGATATGGAGGGCCACACATAGCATAATCAGATTTCTTGGAGTGTCTGAAGTTAGCAGAAATTGGAGAGAATTCACCAGCAGCTAATCTTTCACACTAGTCTTTTTATATTGTTAGTTGTTCAGCATGTACTTACTCTTGATTTTCATGAAAATATTTCATGTCTGCTGGAGCCTGGTGACCAAACTGGGAAGGAATGCATGTGATCTTATGTAGTGATGCGAAGTAAGGCACAAGAGAGCATTAAATCAAGAAGTTCAGATAGAATAAACGTAGATTAGTTAGTACAATAGATACTGGTATTTTTTTTTACCTTTTTTGCACACACAGTCCTTCAAATAGAATTTTGCACATCAGTCCTTCAAATAGAGCAGATCACTGAGTGCACTGCTTCTAATAGGTAAGATGCAGTAAACAACTGCAATTAAATAGTAATTGCTTGTGCAACATATGAGTTAATCCTGAGTTCATTTGTGCTAGACTGTTTTTATTATGTTTTCAGCATCTTGATCTCTTCATGCAAGTCAAGATTTTGTAGTGAATCCTGTTTCCCTTAGGAATGCATATAAAGAATTCTCCTTTTCTTTCCCAGTATTAACACCAATTTCATTGGTAGTGTTATCCTAGAAGGAGCATTTTTGAAGTCACTTAGCAAAGTACTAACACTGCATTTTTACAAATGTATTTTGGTTATCTGAGCTATAACAGGTCCTCACTACTTTATGTCAGGTTGTTTTCTTCAGCTGCTTGGATAACAAAAAGAGGCGGCTGTGGTTTGTTCCAGACTGTTTCGTTGATTATAGATGACACAGACGTTTCAAGCAATGCAATGAGAACAATCTTAATTTTCTGCTCAGTGCATAGGGCTTGAGCACCCATATATCTTTTGTGGGCGGTTGGCACTACGTAATGTTTTCACTGCGGTTCTCTCTCTTGACAGCACAAGAACATATGTTCTTGGGCTGAGATTTGCAGCACAGTTGTAGATTAGCAACTTTGCCCCAGCAGTATCTTGCAGAAACAAGAAAAGGGTTTCTGGGAGAGCTGCCAAAAGCTTCATCCACCTACTGACTTTAAGAAGTGACATTACTTTCAGCCCGTCACCTCTAAAGAGAAATAATTGACAGGTAGAAACCCAGTCCAATTTTTGGAGGAATTAGCAGAGCGTATCTAGCAGAAGGGATTTGTTTCTCGGGGGCAAGCGAGAGAAGACTCCTATTGGTGTTTGTTTCATTTTGGGTAAGAAGAATTTGGAATGGCAGGAAAATGGGCAGATGCCCAAGATGAGATGAAATGAAGGGGTGGGAGTGCTGCCATGCACTGAGGGCTGTGAGGAGCCAGGACATATGCCAGTAGATCTGGGCAAACAGAAAGGGAAAAGGGCACGGGGAAAGAAGGAAAAAAGAAGGAAAAATGTGGGATGCTTAAAGGATCCTGTTGAGGAAAATGTAATACTACCTGTAGTTATTGGAGTAGATGAAGCAGGAAATGACACTCTCCTGTGTCCTTAAGATAAGAGGAGAAAGACCGGAGAGGGACACAGTTTGGTTTGGAGGGGCCTGAATAGGTCCTGTGAAGATCTGAATGTCTTGAACTTGAGATGCGTTTCTGCTACATTAAGTAGGATATTTTGGTATGAAACCCTTGCACTAAACGGGACATGCTCTCTCGTTCTTTTTTCATATCATCTCATTGTAAAGAAATGTATTTATTGTCAGGATATCACAATACACACTCTGTGTTTCCTTAGAATTGGAATCTCGATCATTTCCGGTTTCTGTGTTGTTCAACTGTAAAAACAACTTGAAACCAGACGTTCTGTGTCCCAGAGTACTTATTTATTTGAAGAATTACCATTTTTATTGATTATTTGCAAGTCATTATATTGTTGGTAACTGTACTCAGCTAGGTAATTCCTGACCTCTTCCTTCTGTGTCATTCCCATGAATGGTCTCAACCAAATGATTAGGTCTTTCCATCTGTGCAAGTATTCACAGAATTGCCAATGATTATCATCAGCTTTAGTAGGTAAATTCACTTCTTGGACTTCTCTTTTAAACTGAATATTAAAATCACTTGCAGATACTTTTCTCTGTGTGAGAGACATATCTGTATCACCTAGTGACTTACAGCTTGACTTAATCCTGTCTCTTGCTTCCTTGAGCCATTCTAATGAAGCCAGAGGAAATCTCTTAGTAAAAATATCTTCTCAAAAGCCTGCAGTAATACCTGATTTGCAAGCTGTAATTTTGTTTGAATTGTGTTGAACTGTACAGCTGAACAGATTGTATTCAGCTGAAGCATATCATGTGTGCTTTTTTCCACTGCAGTAAAATGTTTTTTGATATTGTTGTTTTCTGAATAACGGTTAATTTGAATCACATTGTTAATAATTCACTACCAAAGCCTGTTGGCTTAACTAGCTGCCCTTAATAGACGTGGGCTGCATAAATGAAAATCAGGTTTCTTTTCCCTTAGATGTTTGTGTTACTGTATTGGAAGAACATAAGTGCAACAAACAGATATGCTGTGTGTTATAGCGACTGTGAGTTAATCTTCCCATATATTTTCAGCGTGTTTTTTAAATTTGCATTTCCATTTGTGGTGAGGAATTGTGCATCATTAAAAATCAGTTACCTGCTTTGATCCTGTTTTTCTGAAAGATGCAGGGCTTATCTAGTTAACCTGCCTTGTTTATTGCAGGGATATACCATGGCTAACTGGCTTATGAAACATTTCCCACTGTGACTTTCCTTAATTTGATTCATGTATTGTTGCATCAGAGATAACAGCATTGGTACAGCAGAAAGAAGTGAAAATGTACACTAAGAAGGAGAGCTCAAGAGAGAGCAAGGAGAGAGAAAAATGACTGTGCATGGGCTTCTGTGCCGCTCTTGCTCCTGGGTTCACCCACCTGGAGCAAAGCAAATGGCATGCAGCGTGCTCTGCAGGGTGCATCATCAGCAGCAAACATGTAGCTAAGTGTACTTGGCACCTCATTTTTAACTTTTTTTTTTTCCCCTTCTCTCTTTGCCTTTGCCATGTAGTCCGCAGTAAGGTTTTTTGTTTGTTTTCAAATGGGTTTGCCCGTATATGTATTTTGAAGTTGAACATAGCCATGCCTTGTAGGAATAATTATTTTCAGGAGGTGCCTTCTTTCTACTTGGAAACCTAATCTTTTGGGGCTCTGTAAACTGCAAGGGAAGAATTTGAAATTGTATGGTAGTGATCTAAGTCTCGTCTAGTGTCAAATCCCTTACCTGTAAAGTACTGTGTTTCCCACCATCTCTTCTTGAAGGTATTTTTACTGTTCCTATGGGTTGAGACTGATGAGTACAAATTTTCAGATTGTTGGATTGTAGGGGTTTTTTATTTATGTGAAAGATGCAATGCTTTCTAATCCTGTTCGTAAACAGAATAAAAAAATTCTCAAAAGAAGTATGTCTAGATAGGGGAAAAGCATGCGGGCATTTTATGAAAGCTTCAACAATAATGGTGTGTCAGTGTCAAAATCAGGTTCAAAGTGAAAACTAGTTTCGTTTATCTTTGAGTCTTTTTAAACACACCTTAGTGAAGTTTGCTTTATCACCATCACCAAAGACGCAGTATTTCAATGGGTTTTAGCTGTAATTCAGAGGACTGAAGAGTCTTGTATTAGGACTGTGTGTTGATGTCATTTTATAGCCAGGCAGTCTGACTTGCAGGGCGTGAATCGATTAGGTTGACTAGGGAAGACTCTGGACTAAAAGACTGGGCATCGT